CCCGAACTTCGAGGGCCAGTATTTCACAGGGTTAGCTACTTTGATTCCTTGCCATCTTGCTACGGCGCGAAAAGTGCAAAAACGCATAATCGCACTGGCTCGCCTGGTGCGTTCCAGCCTGGGTGTTGAATTGCCGTCACTGGTGAGAAATACAGCATCATCAGCCTTGCCAAGGCAGATGAATCAACACTTGTGCAGTACAAACGGTGTGAATGGACTAGGCTGCGATGAAGGTACTTCGGATCTCGCCGGGGTTCGCACCAGCAGAAGAAGCTGTTATCCCAGAACGCCTTCTTAGCGTCATGCCCGTGTTTTCAAATTTGGCCCTGAGTTTGCAATTTTTAAACAGAATTGGCGAAGGCTAGACATCTGCTGAAATGGGTTCACATTTTTTTGTTTTGACGACTCACTTACCGCATTTGTTTAAAAAAGTTGGGACTTATAGACAGTTGATGCTACCAGAATTCAGATAAATGGAGATTATGGAAGTCGTCATAGACAATGTGGCGTTTTTGTATTAGAAATAGATTTCAAAAACAGATTTCACCTCATAAAAATCTGTTTTAGAGGATGCAAAAAATCGCAATGAAGAAGGAGGCGCAGACCGATTACGATTTCCAGACACCGGTAAAACCACGGAAGCGCAAAATGTTCATGTTTTTGGATGTTTCCCATCAGTTTTTATTTATTGATATCTTGTCCCATTTCACAGTTTTTCGAGAACTAACTCCTGGTTTTAGTGTGTGGGTAGTGGCCCTCTTTAAACGCACAGTGTTGTAACAGCTCGTTTTAGACTGGCATCTTGCATGGGATCTTGCACCCATAATGTGTCTTGCAACAATACTGTTGTATTATTTCTGCAGCGTCGTAATTCGTTTTGGACTAGCAGGGGAACAGGGAGGAAGTGCATCGGCTGGCGCTGTCGTTTTAGCCAGAAGAGACGAAAAATTTTCGATCAATCGCCATCTCGTCGAACAACTTCATTACCTGGAGGAAGGAGCAGCGTCTGCGCTGCATTTTTTGAATTACACTTAGTGTTCAAGTGAGGGAAATTCTTCTTTTAGGACTGAAACGACACCGTCACCAGCGAAGAAAGCAGCTGAAGCTGTGTTACCAGAATTATCGGCCATCGAGCAACAAAAAGCCGATCGCCTTCCACTGGAACATGGACGGTATATTGTTGGCTCTAGAATATATGCGCTTTGGGATCGTTTTTATTACGCAGCACGAGTGTATGGGTGAGCCAGTTGAACTGTTTACCAATTTATAATTTTGTTTTCGATAGAACGGTCTTTCTTTTTTTTCCTCTTACACTTTCATTTGGGGTGCCGTTCAGTGTTTTTGCATTATGGCAGAATCACCTGAACCCGCTGCAGGCGGGCGCATTAAGTTTTACTATCTCCTACCTATTAGATTTGTTTGCTGATGATATAGTATGAAATTTTTTGGAGCTCTAAATTTGCAGCATGTGCGAAATCCTCATTCTACTTCTTATCCAGCAGATTTCAGTGAACAGGATGCTAGTGGCCGTTATGAAGTGATTTTTGTTGAAGATGGCGCTGTACGAAAACTGGTAGCGACTGGCATTATCCCCCTATGTAATCTTATTGATGGCGTAGAGGTTATTATTTTCACTGCTTCAGCTTTATTGAGACTTCTCTGCAATGCACCTGTTGCTTATTGTTTAAGTGAGAATGCACTGCTGCAACAGCTTTTTTTCGCTTCCAACACTTCTGATTTTGTTTCTCATTGTGATTTTTGTTTCTCATCAGAGGATTCTCGTTATGGTTGTATTTCTCGTTGTCGTTGTGGTTTTGTTTCTCCTTTCTCACTGCGAAAGTTTGTTTTTCATTGTGCATCGACTAATCCTGACCTTTGCCATTCCCAACCAGTGGGGGAGTATTTGGCTTGCGATTAATGATAGATCGGAAAAAGTAATTAGTTTATGCTTTTATGCGATACGCGTAAAAAGTGCAACCAGAGCAGCTGGAGTGCTAAAACTTTCTGAGTGCTGCCCAGGACCGTGTTTGAGCAACCGCGAGCGATGATAGCATTCACGCTGCTACTCACGTGCGAACACGTGGAATTTGGGGTAACTCCGCAACCGAAGCATCCAGAACGCTGGATTTTTCGGGCATGAATTGGGAGTCATTGTGATAATTTCTAATGGTCATGGTGGCCAGTCACTATTCTTTTAGCTAGAAGCATTTGCCGGGAAGAGCGTGCCACTGGCGAAAAAAACCGGGGGAACTGTGCAAAAAATGCATCCTCGTACCGGCAGCCGGTGCGCTTTCTACTAAGCTTTTTTTTTGATTTTCATGTTTTTGTTTTCCAGTGTATGACAGCAGTTGTAACAAGTGACGACGAAGCGCTTGAAGAAGTTGAAGTCCTAAAAGCTCCATCGCTGGATGATGCGGAGCAGTGGTTGAAAGCCATGTTTAACGTGAAAAGTACTGAATGTGAAAATTTTAGAGAGTGAGTCTTTTTCGCACGTCCAATTATTAAAAGCATACATGCCTAAGCGTTTGCTCTCTTTTCCATGCTTTACAAATGTTGCTTGCAGTTTATCATGGACGAAACTTGTCCTAAACGGTAATCAAGCAAAACAAATACAACTAGCCACAATTAATACGATTCGTGATGTCAACGCAGGTTTGTTTTGGCTTTTGCTTCGTTTGGCTTGGTACTTCATGATCCCTTGATTTGTTTCTTCGTCTTTTATCCCAGGTACGAAAGGAAGAGGCTTGAAAATCAAAAATGGTCATTTTCTGCTGTGACCTGTTACGTAACGTTCTGTTGTGGAACGTGATCATTGGAATAAAAAAAAGGAAAAAAAAAAAACGGTAAAACACCATTTTTTAACGGGGAGAGGAATGATGTGAAAGATGCTGAGCGTGTTGCTCCGCAGTCAGACTGTTCCTGTCTCGGAGAAGCGCGGTGCACGGTGTCACTGTAATTCGTATTGAATGTTGAGGTTGTTTCAATGATTGTTAAGGTTGTCTCGAAGTAGAAAAAGATTATTGCGTGAAATTAGAAAGTGGTTTCCGACATTTACCAGTCTTGTCATATTCAGAAAATATTGCATCGATGGAAGGAAGGCGTAGTCGGGCATCCCGGCATTCAACTGTGCATGAGAACACCACGTACTTCGTGACTCCGCGTCGGCGTGCTGTTACGGGTAAAGCTGTTGCTACTTCTAAGAAGAGCGTGTGAAATATTGCTATGCGAAGACGGTGTTTTGAAAACATGAAATTCAGGAAGAAAGTTTTCGGCGTCGTTCTGCCGAGCTGCCACGGGGAGGGGAAGCCGACCACTTTTATGTAGAGAGGCTTTGCGCCTTGCATTTTATGTAGAGAGGCTAATTCGGTCTTCGAGAATGCCCGCAGCTGAGAATCCGAACACTGCCTGTAACTGTGGTAGTTAAAACAAAAACTGCCAAACTGCTGAACCATCTTTTTATACGTTTTTTTATCTATGTAATGCAGAAAACGCATATTGACGAGGGGTCGTCTGTGTTTGTGTGTGCGTCTTTATCGATTTTCGATCTCAAGACCTGTAAAAGCTACAGGGCTGAAACTTTGGGAACTTAATCTACATGCACGTGCCGGCCCCAATCCCCAAAATAGGCGTCCTTACCCGTGTGCTACCCACGTACAAGCTCGCCAAAGTTTTTTTACGGGCAAGCTGCTAACTCAGGACCAGGAATGCTGGAAAGCTGGAATTTTGGGGGGACGTTCCCCGCCTACGCAGGTATTGATGAGCTCAAATCCAGGCTTCAGGTATGCGTGGTAGCCGTGAAAGTTTTTTTCGGGTAAGTTGCTAACTTGGGAGCTTGGAAAGCTGAAATTTTGGGGAGTTGTTTCCTGACAGTCCCGACGGCCAATCTTAATTTGTTTAGCTAGAAGCATTTGCCAGAAAAACCGGTAGCGACAAAAACTGCGGAGAACTATGCAAAAAACGTATCCTCGCACCGGCGACCGGTGCACTGGCCAATTATTTTTATCTTAGCATGTGCAAAAATTGTAGCAGAGAAGGACACGCCAAAACGGTCACCGCCAAATGACTCGAAAACGCGGTCTGGAACTCCCGTTGCATCAAAAGCTGGTAAATTGTACATTAGAATTTATTTGGTATTTAATTTATAGGAAGGCCGCTGGCATTTCCACCAAAAATTACTGCCGTTGGAAATTCTGCAGAAACTAAGTTCCCGACTAGTGTAAGTGGCTAGTGATAACAGTCAGCTCTGCTGGTTGGGGAATTAGTTTTTGCTGGGGCTTTTTCTCTGCAGACAAAAATACCACCTAATAATGACACTTTACACGTTGTCGAATTTGGCCTAAGCGCAGAAGGAAAGTGGTTCTTTTTTAATTATAATAGTTTGAGAAAAGTTGCTTGTAAAATTGATATCCCATCAGGCGCTGACCAGCTTGCTTTCAAGCAGTCCTTAAAAGAGAGAACCATCGGCTTATTTGCCATCGCATTACTGCGTTGGCGGTGCTCTACGACTGTCCAGGAAATTTTCGACTTTGTTTTTGATCTCGTCCGGAAGCCAACTCTTTCTGTTTGTTCTTTTCCTAAGCGTTGACTAATAAATGTAAATTTTACTTTGCCTTCAGATCCCTAGCTTT